AGAGGAATGAGGGTGCCGGCTGCCGCTCCGCCAGCTGCACGGGGAGGCGCCGTCTGCAGAGCCTCGCCCGCTCTTCTGCTGTGAGAGGGGAAGCAGCACCTCGTGTTCGGGGACAGGTGGTGCAGACAATCCCTGACTCACCCACGTTCAACCAGGTCTTTGCTTTCCCAGGGCGCTCGGTGGGAACCGTGCCGTACCCGTACTCTGATGTGTTTCCCTTCAGTACAGTGTTCAGGAAGTCGCTCGGGGTCCACGCTCTGTTGTGTAGCCTGCTGTGCTGGGCGACTGCCCCGTGGGCTGCTGGCAGCATGCCCAGCCCACTCATGGCAGTCAGGCTCAGCTGTGGTGTTGCAGAGGTTGGGCGTGTTACATGCGTGGGGTTAGGACCCGGCTTTGTGGGGCAGAGCCTGCGCACTCCCCGAACCCTCCAGCAGGCTCTGACGTGTTATCATCCTTCACGCGGTGCGGTGGTCCCAGGTCCCTGTTCTGGTCTTAGCCGGGTCTGGCCTCCCTGGCAGGGGCCCCATCTCCAACACCACGGCACTCTTGCAGTCCCTCTGTACAAGTTTGGGGGTCAAGCTCTCTTAATCCAAACAAAGCACAACTAAAATGCCTACTGGAAAACACCCAGCAAGTGGCCTGGAGGCTAGAGGCAGCTGGATCCCACCTGGGCAACTGAGGTTCAAGTCCTAGACCCAGTGGATTGAAAATCACACCAGGTCTGTGTGTATGCATAGACATCTCAGGAGGGGGTGGAGGAGAAGGGGTTGCAGTGTGGCCATCCCACCTGGAGGGTGCTTTCTTGGCCTCCCTGATGAACACACCGCTCACATGCATTCTAGAACACAGCAACAGCACACACGTGCCCAAGGTGGGAACCCTTGAAACAGTGCTCCAAGCCACTCAGGCCTGGCCCTGCAGTGCCCTGCCACTCTGGGGAGTGCACTTCTGGGCACTGTGGCAAGAGCCCCTGTCTCCTTTGCCACCCGCTGGCTCATGCCCTGGGTCCCCTGACCCATAGGCACCCCAACTTCCCCCCTGGCAGCTGGAAGACAAGCAGATGGTCCTCTCCACTGGAACGCAGTGGGGAGCGCTTCCCTGCTGGGCAGACCCGTTCCCAGGTTGCAGGCAGGGTCTGAGGGTCCCCTGGGGCTGTGTTCTGGCCCTCCTTCCCTTCCCTGCTCAGTAGGGACACAGGGAACCTGGAGTCTGCCCAGTGGGTGATCCAGGGCCAGTGTGGCCAGCACAGCAGCCCAGGGGCCGCCCGTGGAATCAGGATGTCCCCGCTTTCCCTAGAGGACAGCCTTTCTGTGTCCAGGGCAAGTGGGGGGCAAGCGGGGGACAGGCCGTGTTGGCTGGAGCAGCCCCGAAGCAAGAACCAGCAGCCTTGAAGCTGGGGTCCAGGGAACCTGTCTTTGCAGGCCTCTGCTGGTCAGCTTGGCAGCCCCCGCCACTGACCAGTGCAGGCACCGGGAGGCAGTAGAGGGGACCCCGCAGAGCAAACCCTCGCGCAGGGTTGACAGGTGCACCCTGCGAAGGGTCCCAGCAAGATGGGCCATGCCAGAGGCTTCAGAGCCCGCTAAGAGTGGGCGGAG